ATATCCAAAGTCATTTCATTACGTTGTACGGTCTGTGTGTGTATCCAAAGTCCTTTCATTACGTTGTACGATCTGTGTGTGTATATCCAAAGTCATTTCATTACGTTGTACGGTCTGTGTGTGTATCCAAAGTCCTTTCATTACGTTGTACGATCTGCGTGTGTATCCAAAGTTCTTTCATTACGTTGTACGATCTGTGTGTGTATATCCAAAGTCATTTCATTACGTTGTACGGTCTGTGTGTGTATCCAAAGTCCTTTCATTACGTTGTACGATCTGTGTGTGTATATCCAAAGTCACTTCCTATTACGTTGTACGGTCTGTGTGTGTATCCAAAGTTCTTCCATTACGTTGTACGGTCTGTGTGGGTATCTAAAGTCCTTTCATTTACGTTGTACTGTCTGTGTGTGTATCCAAAGTTCTTTCATTACGTTGTACGGTCTGTGTGGGTATCCAAAGTCCTTTCATTTACGTTGTACGGTCTGTGTGTGGTATCCAAAGTCCTTTCATTACGTTGTACGATCTGTGTGTGTATATCCAAAGTCCTTTCATTTACGTTGTACGATCTGCGTGTGTATATCCAAAGTCTTTTCATTTACGTTGTACGGTCTGTGCGTGTATCCAAAGTCATTTCATTACGTTGTACGGTCTGTGTGTGTATCCAAAGTTCTTCCATTACGTTGTACGGTCTGTGTGGGTATCTAAAGTCCATTCATTTACGTTGTACTGTCTGTGTGTGTATCCAAAGTTCTTTCATTACGTTGTACGGTCTGTGTGTGTATCCAAAGTCCTTTCATTTACGTTGTACGGTCTGTGTGTGTATCCAAAGTTCTTTCATTACGTTGTACGGTCTGTGTGTGTATCCAAAGTCCTTTCATTTACGTTGTACGGTCTGTGTGTGTTTCCAAAGTCCTTCCATTACGTTGTACGGTCTGTGTGTGTATCCAAAGTCCTTTCATTTACGTTGTACGGTTTGTGTATGTATCCAAAGTCCTTTCATTTACGTTGTACGGTCTGTGTGTGTATCCAAAGTCCTTTCATTTACGTTGTACGGTCTGTGTGTGTTTCCAAAGTTCTTCCATTACGTTGTACGGTCTGTGTGTGTATCCAAAGTTCTTCCATTACGTTGTACGGTCTGTGTGT